TCATGCTACTCTCAATTCTAATCTGGCACCATCCACATAACGTAGCCATAACACAACAGCTCTTCCACAACACATCAGTCTGATCACGATCATGTCAGCAGTGTTCATAGTAGCACAGCTGGATTGTGTCGCAAGCATACTGTATATTTGATTAACCTTTTCAAATAGCATGTGTTTCTATCTCATTAAATGGACCCCTAAAGTACATGAACAAAACAACGGAGTTACTTTATGCATTAGTCTGGAGTAGAATGGCAGACAGCAGTGGACTTTCTGAAAATCCTCCAACCACCATGACCAACATGCACTTGTTTAATGTCATGATGACCTAATCCAACAGTGCCATGTTAGTATGATGTCTCTTGTATTAATTACAAAGAATCATTAATATCATGAAAGTGGTCACATTTAACAAATGTTATATTTGGGATAACACTTTCTTGGTAAAGTACAGATTCTGGTACTCTTTTGGGTACTGTGCCAATTTACACTTGTCAGAGGGGTACACAAAGTATGTGATCTAGACTTCCAGTTGTCGGACTTTCATTTTTGTGGAAGCCTCGGTGGCTGAGTGGGTTAGATCACTGACTTTGCTGGCAATTAGGTGCCTCACTCTGGCGGTGTGGGTTCGAATCCAAGACGGGACACAGTTCCAGAATCTGTACTTTACCAAAAAAGTGTAATCCCAAATATAACATTTGTTATCATTAATATCTATGTCAAAAGTTAATAAAACATCAGTATTTGGCCATGTCTTCAAACCATGACTTACACCTGACCACAAACCAGTAGCTACTACAAAATTTAGGGTTCAAAATTAATGTTAGTTTGCTCGTCCAAAAACAGTAAAATACATATGTAAAGGACTAATGACATATCCTGGTGACTACCATGGTTTTCACATGAATATTGGGACAATTCTTTGAATATGTTATACTACCATAATCATGCTAATGTGTTTAGTCTTATAACCCACTTCTATTTTAACATATCAATCCCACAAACTCAAGATTTGCAGTCCTCGAAACAAAACTGAGATGTTGGGAGTTGCTCATATATTACATTTGGTTAAAAAAAGGGACAGTCATAAGTGGAATTACCCTCAGCAGTATACTGACTCTGAGCCAAGCAGTCCTTGTCTGAGCAGGTGATCCATGTTAAACTACAGCATGGTATCTCAGTGGGCTGGCATTAGTCCGGACTGCTACAAGCACACACACACACATCGCTTTATATGTGTAATAACTTTGAACTGTTGAATGTGTCGTTAACTACATTTCACCTCACCTTAGCTCCACTTTACTGGTGCTGTTATTTGTGAAATAGAAGTCACCTCTAAAAAGCCACAACTAATTTATTATAATAAAATATTATTTCAAATCATATATATATTACACAATACTCATACATTTTTGTGAATTAACTGTTTCGTTATGAGTTGTTATCAATTACTCATTCATTTAATGACGTGATGCATTAAGTATAGATGAAAAGTCACAATGTACCAGGTAACGAGAGCAGATTACATTAAGTCTGTACTCATAGATATTCAACATGCTTCCGTGTGAATGAGAAACTTTCAACAATTACTAGAGCATAAATAATGCCATTGAGGAAATGACAAACAGCCAAATAAAATTGACACTGTCATGACTATCCTCAAAAAAAGAAGAAATTATTATTTACTCAACAAATGTTATCCACAAACGGATATATTAAGATGTTAATTTGATCACAGATATGACATATTTATTAGGTTTGGGGGGAAAACTTCTTCAATTGCATGGCCAAGAACAGAAAAGGACCAACAGAGTATGAAAATGACTATTGTATATATACCGTTCACATCACTAAATAAATACAAACTGAAACTACAGCATGAAAGAACACTACACTGCAACAAGCCGGCCAACATGTTACCAGACAAAACGCTGAATCAACACATTCTGTATTGGACACTATCAAACGTGGCACATGCTGGCATCAACAGGTGTTGATCATACACCCACAAGTTATGTTTAGCAAAGAGATCATGATAAGAAAGTTTATCATAATCAAAGCAACAGCAATTTTCAGCAGGAATCACATAATGTTAAACATAAACATTAATCTTTATAATCTTAAGTCTCATAAGTGTGTTGTCACAAGACTGTTCAAAGTAACTCTGGAATGTTAGGAGTGAAGATTGTTCTATTTATTTCACATATTATTTCCCATTTTCAATACAAATAGTGAGTGAGTATGGTTTTACGCCGCTTTAAGCAATATTCCAGCAATATCACGGCAGGGGACACCAGAAATGGGCTTCACACATTGTACCCATGTCGGGAATCGAAACCGGGTCTTCGGTGTGACGAGCGAACGCTTTAACCACTAGGCTACCCGACCGCCCCTCATTACAAATAGTTCTTGCCATGTCATCAACATGTATAGTACACAAAAGATGTTAAAGACCACCCGATATTTTCACATGACTAAAGTTAATCTGCCATGGTTATTGCAACACACAGCTTTCGAACTGTGGTCTGGTTTTGTAGTATGCTGGACAGTTCATCACAACCTACAGAAAGTAGTAGTACTAGCATATTGAATATTCATAAAATACCACTTCAATCTTGATGGAAGAATATTTATCGTCATTTTTCCTGTTCTTGAATATATCAAATACTTCAGTGCAACTATTACAATAATAACATTACCAATTACTTACTAAGCAACACTTGTTTCAGATTTGTCCTTTTACACTGTTGACAAAATATTACCATTACAGCCGATTACTGCTTCCCGTATCATTTCAAATGTTTAAGAGGTTTCTAGTTGTAGTTCACGACTGCAGAACTCTGTGGTGATTATCGATCAAAAATGGTCCCCAGTACCCGACCTCTGTTCTATTCATTTGCAGAAAAATCTGTTGATCACAGATTGGCAACATGCAATCAATCAGCATAGTGCTCAGAAAATTATGTGTTTCTACTTGTAACTTTGTACTCCAGTACATTTACTTAGCAGTAAGATAACCCATTGCTAAATAAAACTACCTGTGATGTGCAACTGATTTTTTGCTTAAATAATAATGATGTTTAAAGTTAAACATAAATGTACAGGGCTTCTTAACCCTAACATTACTCAACAGACTTACGAGGACCCTAGATATAAAAGGACCCCTAGTATATGAAACAATTAGTCAAATGAGTGAGTGAGTTGGGTTTAAACTATAACGCCGCTTTTAACAGTATTCAAGTCATATCACGGCGTGTCAGCTTAATGTGGGAGGGAAGCCCGAAGTGATGCAGGTATCAGACGTTTACCACTTCAGTGAAACCCACGAGCACGGGTATGGTGCTGACAAACCTAGAAACATAATTGGGGCGAACTGGGATTCGAACCCACAATCATAGGTTTCTGGCGTGCCTAAGGGACGCAACTCTGCACAGCGAATTGCGGCACCTTAGACGACTGGGCCACCCGTGCCATCTTAGTCAAATGAATAAAATACCAATTATCATTCAATCACAAGTTTGCCTGAGTTCATATTTGGGTTGCATGTCTTTGAAAAACATGGGTAATGTTCCCTGTTATCATGATAATGTACTTACATTAGTCATGTTAGCGACAGCAGCAATCTCTGTACAATACTATGAGTTCCTAACAATACTCGTATATGTCTCGTCTCAGACCAGTTATCACCACTTTTTCCATGTTATTTCTGAAATATTCTGTGTACAAAGTTGACTGTGTCAATAACTTTGATTTTTGTGAAGTTATGAGCAAATACAAGTATTTCTGTCTGTGGAAAAAGTTTCTGTAGATTTCTGTAATAATGCAATGATAGGGAATCAAAACAGTTGAAATTAAGGTTTCCTGTCAAACAAACTGTACCTATTATCGCCTTCGTCTAAAAAGCACATACCATGTGCACCGCATCGGTTATACAAATTACATTTTCTATTTTCCCTGGTATCGGACTCAATTTTATATTCATTACAGTAAGAAATGCTTTTATCAATTTGTCATTGGCAAAGTGATGAAAACCAATATTTTACCAAATTTGATTTACACATGCTTATACATACCAGTATGAGTGGACTTCTCGACACGTTCAGGGTAATGCATTCTTTAAAACTAGCTCAATTAGGTATTAGAATTGTATTTTGCGGAAGAAATGACAGATAGTAAGCAATAACAGGACTGAATGTGCATCATTGTGTAGTTGGATATTTTGTTTTTGCATGAATAAGTCATGTGACACATAAGGGATCCTAAGTGCTAGTAGAATGTTTGGGGGCATTGCTATATGTTATCACTATTCGAGCTAGTAGACATTCTTGGTTAATTTCTATCCTTGCTTAAGGGTTTGGGTGGTCAGTTACTTGGTTGATGGCTTTTCAGTGTACCCAGATGGATGGATTGTTGCTTACAATATCAATCACAGGATTGTCTGCTCCAGACTTGATTATTTACAGGCTGTCGTCATGTAGCTGGAATATCGCTGAGTTTGGCATCAAATAACACACACCAAGGATTAATTCTACTTTACTAGTCGATTTGTATACGACAGGATAATTTCTCTAGTGAAGTATTTGGGGAATGTTGAAACAATGGATACAATACAAGAAACACAGTTCTGTGGACCTATTCTACCTTAACTTGTGACTTTAAATTACTCTCTCTCTCTCTCTACTCTAAGGATCTCAAAGAACCAAGTCTATTAAAATGCCTTTTTAATACCCGTGATGGCAATCTCTCATGTCTCTGTTGACCCACAAAACAAAGCTGAAAGAATATTTCGAAAAAAGGAAATGTATTTTGCAATGGCAAAGCCCTGTTCCATACATGACAGGATTCTAACTACCTATCCCCAATATGCCAACAGTCAGATTGCAAATATAGCATGGAATATGCTTTACTATCAATGACAATATGGCAGCATCTCAGACAAGAAACTACATCTCAGGTTCTAGGAGAAGTTATGAAAGCCTGATTGAGATTCATTATATTACCTGCAGCAAGAACACCTCCTTTTGCTCGAGCAGACTTGACCTCAGATTCAGCCATTACAGCTCTTGTGTGCTGTATCTCAACCATGGTCTCGGTACGTTTCTCCACATGAATGATGCGTTCCTTCTCCAAACGCTCAGCCTCACGTGCTTTCTCTTGCTTCTTGCTCGCCTTGCTCTGCTGCTCTGGGTGCTGTTTATCTTTCCCTCGTTGCTCATGGTGGAGCTCCACCTCATCCTTAGGTGCCATGTCCTTGTGATACAGTTCCTTGGTCTGCTTGCCATCAGTCACAAGTGGCTTTTCTTCCTTGTTCACCAGAATGGATTTTGACTTTTTGTTTTTTGACTTTTTGGTATTCAGCGCTACAGTTTCAACTGGTTCAATAATTTCAGGATCAATTTCAAGATTGACCATTTTGTGATCTCTTTGTACATCAGTTTCTTGCACTGGTGCTGGCTTGTCAGGCTTTTCTTTTGTTTTTTCTTTGCCTTTACGGTATTTTTTCTTATGTTCCTTCTCAGCTTTTTTCTCACTCTTCTGTTTTTCTCTCTCCTCTTCCTGTCTTCTACGCTGTTCCTCAAGAACCTCCTCAAAAGTTTTCTCTTTCATAGTAAAGGCAGATATCAAATAAATTAGAATTGCAGAAATAACAAATGCTGCAACACCGATGAGAAGAGTTTGGGGATCCATGATGCTGATCTATGACTTGTGTTCAAGAATAACAATATTAAAGTTTTTTTGAAAAATGCCTTCTGATGATTGAACTCAAATCTACTTGTAAGCAAGTGTGAATATTGGCCACGCCCCTTACTTCAGGACTGGACCCACTTTGGGACACTTGCTCACCGACAATCCTACCGATATGGCTAATATATGTCACATAAGCTTCAAGATCTTAGTCCAGGGACAATTCTATGTCAAGTCTCCATCAGAAACCGGGTTCCTGTTGACAGAAATAAAAGACACGAGTTAAAATGCAAGTCCACGTAAGCACACGATTTTTCGAAGAAACCGGCCGGTGAAAGATCTGACATCGGCTCTATAATTTCTTATACTTATTTAATTCTGCACGTGTCAGCGTTTAAAATATTATTGAAATATGTGACCTACCACGCGTGTCAATTATTTTTCCTCTTCATTTACACGAATGTCAACGTGGAAAATACGGTAGCCCATCCGTCTGCTGACCTTACACTAGTTGGCAAACAACATGAACAATAGCAAGTCGGAATACAGCCCAACCACGAATGTAACGAGGGCTGCGATTGGTTGATATTTATCATGGCGAGTCGATCTTTTGTTTCTCCTCCCTGCCACGTCAGTTCATAATTTTGCAGAAAATTACATCTAGGGGAGAAAGAGCATCCACACAACGTCAAACTACCTTCACATAGGTCAATGTTTAATCTGATATTCAATGGAAAAATACACCAACGTCGTTTATTTCTTTGCACTTCATTTCATGCTTTCACTGCTCCCAATGGCCGGGCGCATGTTCGCCACGGGGGACAGCCATTCACAGAAGCCGGAGAGAGCACTGCCTTGGTAGATACCACTCTCCTGACAGCAAATATCTAATCATACAGAAAATGCTATGTATCAGATTGACGTATTCAAAAGTTTATACCGCAGTTAATTTACAACAATAGATGTTGACACATTCTCTAGTTATTTCATAATGAACATGTCAATAAAATGTCACAGGGAAAATGTAATTAATTTCGTTTCAGTGATTATAAGCCATATAGGATATGTAACCAGCCTCTTGCAACGCTGGTATTATTGTTTATGAACAAATACATTAGGCTCACCGAAGCGCGTTGAATCAGTGCGGTTATCTGTATCTGTTTCAAGCGCCATCGTTTTTTTGAAGCTAAAATATTATGCCGTCCTACGAACATTTCTCTTGTAACAATTTACAGTGGCAGCTATACATCCCCATTGAATTTAGAACCGATTATCTTTTCCCCGTAATACTAAACCCATTCATTCGAACTGATACAATCGTGACTTTGTTTGTTGATGATAAACAATAATAAATATATTTACAACTTATATATTCCATAAATTAAGGAATAAGATAAGGCATGATAAACTATAATAGGCAAATGGGTGTACCATTTATTAACAGTAGTCCTCATAAAGACCTCAGTCGGACGCACGCTTGTAGATACATGTAGCTCAGCTAGCTGCTGGGTCCGCTCAACGTCATCAAAGAAATAAAACATATACTGAAAGTAAAGCGTAAGCTTTGTCCCTATTCACCGATATTTGTTAAATTTGAAATTCGGCGAATCATGCGTCAGATTGAATATATGCACTGATATTCAAATGAAAGAGAAAACAGTGGACACTTTCACCGTGAGTCTCAGATGTGGGGATGGTCTGGCTTCAAAGTTTGTTAGTTTGTTGTTTCACGCCGCTCTCAGCAATATTCCAGCTACATGACGGCAGTCTGTAAATAATCGAGTCTGGGCAGACAATCCAGTGATTGACATCATGAGCATCGATCCACGCAATTGGGATACGATGACATGCATCAACCAAGTCAGCGAGCCTGACAACCGATCCAGTTAGTCGCCACTTACGACAAGTATAGTCGCATCTTACGGCCTTTCAAAGACTTTATTTTACGTTGAGATCGTGTTGAAATCGTGTAACAGATGTGATGGCACGTCACTGTCCTTTCCAAACTGAGTTCAGGCGTGCTAATCTTAACATCAATAAAACCTCCTGTGTGTCGCCAAGAAGGATACATTAATGGCCATATTTGTTTTCAAATCAAGATACATTACGAACTCAAAACATATGTTAACCACACAATACAGGCTAACATATAGTCTATGAAATCTTTTATTACACTATACATTTCTCTCCTCTAAAAATATTTCCTAATGCTGATTTCGTAATGGAATAGAGCTGGCTTTTATGTAATATATGGTTTTGTTTTCATTAAATACTTATATTCCGCCCTGGTGCAGGTCTAACCACAGGCCTAAAGGTAACATATCTGACCTGCTGTCTATTTTTCAATGATAATGAAGAACATTCTATCAAGGGTTGCGGAATCCGTTTTATGAGCAGAAACACGAGCACTTGCACACACACGCATACACCCAAACACCATTTGAGTACATTATTGAGTATAATATACACCTTTCGAACCAGTTTAATGGACAAGTTGTTAACCGACACCACGATACATGCCTCCAGGTGGCACCAGTCGCCTGCAAACAACAGGATACATATTACAAAGATTATAATCATTGCATCTGTGTCCAACCCAACGCGACATAAAAAACACTATACTGATAATCAAACGCTATCAAGTGCTTTGCATATTTGACGCCACGGGTGAGGGCATGAAAGGTATTTTACTAGAGCTTCGTTCAAGGGTAATGCGTCATCAGTGGATTGTGATACTCGGATCTACAAAATTAGAATATTAATAGTATCTAATTAGATAGGACCGACCCGTGAGATTACAAGCATGTATATATAGAATCCCGTTGTCTCAAAGTGTTCGAAAAGACAGCGTGCATTGTATGTTCTGTGTTGAATTACAGGTCACATGTACTGCCGTATCTTTCCAATGACCCAGCATACAGCCATGCACGTACTGTTATATGACTGTCCACATTGGGTCAAATTCGTCAGCAGATGTGGTGGATCTCAGACGTTTACCACTTATGTGAAACCCACAAGCACGGGTATGGTGCTGACAAACCTAGAAACATAATCGGGGCGAACTGGGATTCGAACCCACAATCATAGGTTTCTGGCGTGCCAAAGGTACACGACTCTGAAAAGCGTATTGCAGTGCCTTAGACGAAATATATTTGCCACGTGTGTTGTAAATATGTATGAAATACGTATATATCCTAAGTGTGTTGTAAATAGAGACTGCTATATAGAGAATCTCACCCAAGTGTCTTTTGATATCAAATATATCAACACGAGTTGATAAAAGTGGAAAAATTCCGAGGCTTGCCGAGGATTTTTGCCACTTTTATCAACGAGTGTTGATATATGATATCAAAAGACACGAGGGTGAGATTTTATTTATCATCCAACATCATTCTTTCAACTTTTTCAATTTGTAGACAGTAATTAGCAGTGTCTTCAGTGTAAAAAGTACTTCAAACAGCTTCAGTAGCAGAGCCATTAGTGATGTCATTTGATTGTGACGTCATGGTAACCAGTGACGTCACAATGGTCTGCAAAGCATTGTGATGTAATTTCATTGCAGCGATATCTACAGTGTAGATATCGCTTGATCTCATCCAAGCGATATCTCCTATGGGAGCCAGTTTTGGATGATAAACGTATATATCCTACGTGTTTTGTAAGTAGTGATTAAAATACGTTTATATTCCACGTGTGTTTTAAATAGTGTATGAAATACGTTTATATCCCACGTGTGTTGCAAATGTGTATGAAATACGTATATATCCCACACGTGTTGTAAATAGTGTATGAAATATGTATCTATCCCACGTGTGTTGTAAATAATGTATGTAATACGTATATATCCCAATTGTGTGGTAAATAGTGTATGAAATATGTATCTATCCCACGTGTGTTGCAGATGTGTATGGAATACGTATATATCCCACATGTGTTGTAATACGTATAAATCCCACGGGTGTTGTAAACAGTGTATGTAATACGTATATATCCCACTTGTGTTGTAAATAGTGTATGAAATATGTATCTATCCCATGTGTGATGCAGATGTGTATGGAATACGTATATATCCCACGTGTGTTGTAAATAGTGTATGAAATACGTATATATCCCACGTGTGTTGCAGATGTGTATGGAATACGTATATATACCACGTGTGTTGTAAATAGTGTATGAAATACGTATCTATCCCACGTGTGTTGCAGATGTGTATGGAATACGTATATATCCCACGTGTGTTGTAAATAGTGTATGAAATACGTATATATCCCACTTGTGTGGTAAATAGTGTATGAAATATGGCTCTATCCCACGTGTGTTGCAGATGTGTATGGAATACGTACATATCCCACGTGTGTTGTAAATAGTGTATGAAATACGTATATATCCCACTTGTGTGTTAATAGTGTATGAAATATGGCTCTATCCCACGTGTGTTGCAGATGTGTATTGTATACGTACATATCCCACGTGTGTTGTAAATAGTGTATGAAATACGTATATATCCCACTTGTGTGGTAAATAGTGTATGAAATATGGCTCTATCCAACGTGTGTTGCAGATGTGTATTGTATACGTACATATCCCACGTGTGTTGTAAATAGTGTATGAAATACGTATATATCCCACTTGTGTGGTAAATAGTGTATGAAATATGGCTCTATCCCACGTGTGTTGCAGATGTGTATGGAATACGTACATATCCCACTTGTGTTGTAAATAGTGTATGAAATATGTCTATATCCCACTTGTATGGCAAATAGTGTATGAATTACGTATATATCCCACGTGTGTTATAAATAGTTCATGAAATACGTATATATCCCGTGTGTTGTAAATAGTGTATGAAATATGTATCTATCCCATATATGTTGCAGATGTGTATGGAATACGTATATATTTCACGTTTGTTGCAAGTAGAAAATGAGATATGTGTATGTCCCATCTGTAGTTTAAATTGTGACTGAAACACGTATGATGTAAATGGTATCTTAAATGGAATCTGGTGGCTGCAATGGCAAACACAAATGCAATATGATATCGTAGATCGATGTTCACTCTGGATTTTCTGTTTCAGACAGCCTTGCTGGCTGTACTAAATGATAAGTCCATGGATGTTCAGCAATTATATCCTAATAATCGCCAAGTCTAGATAACAGATAGTAAGGACGCGAGTCGTTAAAAGGGACAGCTTGTTCTTATTATTTTTATAATATAGGAATTATGGTTTAAACTGATAATCATGTCTTAGAGTTAGTGTCTAACGTGTCCAGAGCTGGTATAGTCTTGATATATAAATTGTACTGTTTACAATGTATAGCCATGTTCCGCGCTGTTGACAAAAATGGCATTGTCGTGCTACACCCTATAGTGATATTGACATGAATTGTGTAATTGTGCTACACCATAGTGAGGTTAAATAGAGAGATATACCCGTGATATAAACTGCAGGGCAAATGTAATTACACGTACGCACATGTTTGATGGTGGCTACAAATGACACGGGCAAGAAATGGTTATGCGATGGTGATGCATTTAGTTGTATGTAGTCCCTGGGTTTTGCAGTTTTTCGACGACTGTTTTC